TTTTTTTTTTTTTTTTTTTTTATCGAGAAGCACTACATTTTTATAAATTCTAACAGGTATTGAAAACTGAGACCGCCTAAAAGAATACTTTTTATTTTTCATATAAATTCTGATCATAATATAAAGTGAAAAACGCTTCGTTTAAATTGTTCATTAAAAAATTCAGTTCTGTTCACTGTGCAGAGTTTCTCGTTTACGTAATAACTTTATTATCAACTCGGCGTTTTTATAAAAACACTTATTTTTTCAAAAATTTGAATACTGATTTTCTAAAACGTTTCCCTTCCATTATCTAACTTATTACGTGAACGTTAATTATTAGAAATTGTGTTTCTTATTATGCGACATTAACTTTAAGAACGTAAAGTCGAACACGTTGGAATTACTGAAAATAAAATCTTCTTAACGAAATTTACTTCAAACGTCATACTTCTATCACGTACTTGTTTTTATTGTGTATAAATACAATTTTTACGGAATTGCGTTTTATTTCACTCTCGCGTGATTTTTTCATTTTTAGAAAAATATATCTTGTAGCCTGTTGACTTACAATAATTAGCGTTCGAAGGGGTTGTTGTTATATTATTTTCTTCTGTTTGGATGTTTTACGGTTCAGGTATCCAACGGGGTGCTCCAGCTGCGATTGGCGGTCACGGGAAAGAAAAGTGTGGGTGTTGTACGCACGTGCTTGGTCATTGACCTCGGTAGTGGGCTGTGCGTGAGTGGGTCACACGACTATCTTGGCGGCCTTGCGCACGGGGTAGGCCAAATTCGACCAGACTTCGTCTCCCCACGTCTACCCCGACGATTTCGTGTATTGCCGCTAAGCGCTCATGTCATCTTTATCGCTTATCTCCTTTGTAGTGTCTCTGTTTTTTATTGCTATGTACCTTTGATCTCTATTGTTTTACCTTTTATTAATTATGCCAAAAACTGATGTTTGACAACTTCGAGTTGACACAGCTTTTTATTACACTGTTCGGTTTGCTTTGAATTAAAAGCCGACCAATCGCATTCGATATTTTTGTTACGCAATTTGGACAAGAGCAGACCTTAACATTAACGATAGGAGCGCTTAACATGTT